TGCTCCAAGAAACTAAGAAATAAATCAACCATTAAAACATTAAACAAAGGCAGAAGAGTTAACAATTTGTGAGACTTCAGAAAAATTCATTTCATTTAAATTATACACTAAGAAGTTCAACACATCTTGTGGGTGCTTTTTAATTATTTTTTAAATTGAAGTATCATTGATATACAATCTTATGATGGTTTCACATGCATATCACAGTGGTTCACCCAAATTATCAAACCCTCACCCCCTCTGTTGCAGTCACTCTATCAACATAGTTAAGATGTTATGTCATTACTTGTCTTCTCCGTGCTGTACTGCCTTTTCCATGACCTACCTATATTGTGAGTGCTAATTATAGTGCTCCTTAGTCCCCTTCTCCCTCCCCAACCCCTCCCCTTCGGTAACCACTAGTCTCTTCTTACTGTCCATGAGTCTCCTGCTTCTTTTGTTCCTTCTGTTTTGCTTTGTTTTTATACTCCACAAATGAGTGAAATCATTCAGTATTTATTTGTCTTTCCCTGCTTTATTTCACTGAGCATAAAACCCTCTAGATCCACCCATGTTGTTACAAATGGCAGGATTTCTTTTCTTTTTATGGCTAAATAATACCACATTGTGTGTGTGTGTGTGTATTTATACATCTTCTTTATCCATTCATCTACTGGTGGATACTTAGGTTGCTTCCATATCTTGGCCATTGTAAATACTGCTGCGATAAACACAGGGGTGCATATGTCTTTTCAAATCAGGATCTGGTTTTCTTCAGGCAAATTCCTAGGAGTGATATACATCTTCTTTATCCATTCATCTACTGGTGGATACTTAGGTTGCTTCCATATCTTGGCCATTGTAAATACTGCTGCGATAAACACAGGGGTGCATATGTCTTTTCAAATCAGGATCTGGTTTTCTTCAGGCAAATTCCTAGGAGTGGAATTCCTGGGTCAAATGGTATTTCTAGTTTTAGTTTGAGGAACTTCCATATTGCTTTCTAGGTGGTTTAACCAATTTACAATCCAGTCAACACTGTAGGAGGGTTCCCTTTTCTCCACATCTTCACCACCATTTGTTTCTTGTCTTTTGGATGGTCGCCATTCTACCTGGTGTGAGGTGGTATCTCACTGCAGTTTTAATTTGCATTTCCCTGATGATTAGCAGTGTGGAGCATCTTTTCATGTGCCTGTTGGCCATCCATATTTCTTCTTTGAAGAAATGTCTTTTCAGATCATCTGTCCATTTTTTAATCAGGTTATTTATTTTTTGGGTGTTGAGGCATATGAGTCCTTTATATATTTTGGATGTTAACCTCGTATCAGATAAATCATTAACGAATATATTCTCTCATACTGTAGGAAGCCTTTTTGTTCTGCTGATGGCATGCTGTGTGCTGTATGTGTGCTGTATTGTGGAGTATAAATGTTCTGTGCTGTACAGGAGCTTTTTAGTTTGATGTAGTCCTGGTGCTGACTTTTCTAAAAATAGTTAGTTGAAGTTAACATATAGCCCAATTAATTAAGTACTGTGGTAGTAAAGTATTTGAAACAGCCTATAAATAATGTAATTATATGAAGACTTTTTCATTTTTATTTATCTTAAAAATAAGACTCCTATTTATCTTATTTATCTTAAAAATAAAGTCTCTTTCCAAAGTGTTTGTAGGAAGACTGGTGCATATAAAAATATTATCCTCAAAGCATAATCTGTAATAAGCCTGATGATCAGATGATCAGGCTTTTTAGCTTGCAACCAAAAGCAAGTTAGTAACATAATCTGAGTATTCTGTAGTGCTTAGCATTTTGGGAAAATTAACTTCTTTGAAAAATCAGGATTTTTAATATTTTAGAAGTACACCAACTTCTTTGAAGTCATTAGGTTAGTACTGTTACCTGTGGAGTTGCTACTATTCATCCCTGAGATCATGTCTTGAGGATGACAAGAATGAAGCTGACAGACATGAGTACAGAGCAACCAGCAAAGCTTTTAACGAATGAAAGAGGGCAAGGAAAAAGGTTCCCGCTGAGTGGGAGGGGTTCCAAGGGTGGATGCTGTTAGGGCTGCGGTGTCTAGAGGTTCATGAGCACAAAAAGGGAGAAATTCACATGATTGGCTAAGGCTGTTGCTAGCGTCGGACTGGGATCAGAAGACTCACTTGTTTCTCAGGCTGAATTTTCCAGGGGCGTTTGTTTACTGTGAAGCCTTGACCCTAGTTCCCTCGTGACTGCACCTTACCAGGGCCTTGAGCTCTATCTGCCTGCATCCCACAAACACCTGCCTCAGTATGACACTAAGTTGTAATCACATATCACTTGGGTGACCTAAATGACTTAATAAACTCCTAAAGAATACTAAGTAGAATATTGGTAACCTAGGAGACACTCTGGGCACAAATCCACTGGAGAAGGTTCAGGAACTTCTGGGTAAATAAGAGGCTACCCTCTCATTCCTCTCTGTGATAAAAATCTGTAAGGGATGCAACCCTTGAAAGACGGAGAGATCCATATTTGTACAACTTCACTCTGAGTGCACATTCCTGTCCATGGAACAGGAAAGGCAGAATTCGGGCAGAAAGCCTTAGTCCTACCTAAGCAGTCAGAGATGGAGTTTGGGCTATCATGGTGCTTAGGTGTCGAGACAGGAAATTCTTGAAAGGAACAATTATAGAGAGGGCAACACTAAAATGCAAGCCTAAGATCTGTGGCCTCAGATCTTAGGCTGCAAGCAGAGCAAGAACTCCAATGATTCAAGGGCAAATAAACCACTGGAGAGCTGAAAATGGTTAGCAGATGTTTCAGCAGCTGCTCACTCAGGGGTCTCCTGAGTTCAGAGTTCAAGCCCCACCAGGATAGAGTGATATGGCACTTTAGGCTGTGAAAATTTCAGAAGGGCTGCACCTTAGAAATAAGTCACATGCCAGGATTAAGATATTAGCCCTAAAGCTAAAGACAAAAGACAATTAGGTCCACCCTAACAAAGTCTACAACCAAACCTTTACAAGTTTAAGATGTCAGTAATTTAACTGCTTTCTAGAACAAAATCAACCCTTTAGAGGCAGATAACAGAATCCAGAATCTCTAACATGTATCATCATATAATAAAAAATTACTAGAAGAGAAAGAAGTAGGAAAATGTTACCCAGCCAACATAAAAAAATCAGCCAATAGAAACACATGCACTGATGACGCCAATGTTGGAACTAGCAAAAACTTCAAAATAACTAGGTTAAGTATACTAAATTATCTGTAATAAAAGACAGATATAATAGTAAAGAAATGGAGAATTTCAGAGGAGATATGAAAACTATATAAAAGAACCAAGGGAATATCCCTAAAATTGAAAAATTCAACAAAAAATTTTAAAGTTATTGGTTGAGATTAACAGCAGATTGAACATATGAGACGAAAGGATTTGTGAACTTGAAAACAAGTTAAAAGGAATCATCTACTCTTCAGCCTGGAGAGAAAAATTACTGGGGGAAAAAAGCCACAGTGACCTGTGGGACAGTATCAAGAAGTCAACACACATGTAATTGGAGTCCTAGAAAGAGAAACGTGCAGAAAAACACATACAATATGCTGAGAAAACAAACCATAATAGGCACATAATATCAAACAGCTAAAAACTAAAAAATAAAGAAAAAATCTTAAAAGCAGCAAGAAAAAGGTACATCATATACAAGGGAACAACAGTAAGAATGAAAACTCACCAGAAACAATGAAGGCTGAAGACAATGGAACAATCTTTAGAGTGCTGAACAAAAGCTGTCAACCTAGAATTCTAAATCCAGCAAATACATCTTTCAAAATGACGATGAAATAAAAACCTTTTCAGAAAAACAATAGCTGATAGAATTTTTCTCTGACACAACTGAGCCACAAATTAGTATTAAAAGCTCTTGAGACTGAGGGAAAATTATCCCAAATGTAAGCATCGACTTGCATGAAAGAAGAGCACCATAAAAAGATTCAAATGTGGCCAAATGTAATACATTTTTTATTTTCTTTCTTGTTTAAAACAGGAATAAAAATATATAATGAGGTTTATAACATAGAAGTAAAATATGTAACAATATCACAAAAGACAGAAGGGGCTTTAAATGGAATTATATTAAGTGAAGGGCATATATCCCTATTTACTACAGGTAAACTTTTAAGTCACAGGTGCACATTATATTTCCAGATGAATCCAGGCAACCTAATCCCAAGCAAATCTGACCCCTGAGCAATTCCTCTTAACCACTGTGCAATGCTGCTCTTTGTCAAGTGAACATTTTTGCCACTGCTTGATTACAACTTTGCAATTTGACAATAATGTATAACATTATTATCATTTCAATCAAATTATGAATAGACTGATAAATCCTTAAGATTCTAAAGGCCAGTCCTGCTCACAGACTCTTCGAAGGAAAGCTGCCAGAGTTGGGTCCTTCCACTTAATTTGCTGTACATTAGGGCTTACAATCCTGCTACACTGGCCACAGTTGATTGGACCAAGGATCTACACCATAGTTAAGGGCAGCTATCTTTTGGTTGGACAGAAAGAAGGCCAAAATGACCCAGTAGAATAATCTCTGCTCATTCAGGTGGCTCTCTTTTGGATTATAACTAGTAGAGTCCATCAGACCCTCTTTAAGGGACAGTAAAAGCAGGAGAGTGGGAAATGTGCAGAGAAAAGATGGAAACACATGCATATTGCGACTATGTAGCAATGGACATCCATTTCAAAGATGAGCACAGAACCTGGCCACTGGAGCTGTTGTACTCACTACATGGCAAAGAGCCATTTTTTTCAACTTTAAGAAACTGTGCTTCTAATGAGATGGCCACTTTACTGTCCTCCGTATTCTTAAAATAAGCCTCCACCATTTAAGATAATGTGAATGGGCCTTTGTTCCTTGCAATCTAAAGAAGCCCATCCAAACATACCTTTTAAAAAAATCTAGACCTGCAGTATACATACAGCACATGAAGACAAAACACTTCAGGCATAAAACAAAACACAAAAAGGGGTTATACAGCCTGAAGCTTTTGCATTTACTTTAATAAAGAAAATTTTTTAAATGTTCAGTGAAAATTACTACATAGTTGTTCAAAAGTTAAATGAAAATGTGAATAGTTAAGCACCCACAAAGTCCTCTTATTGCCATTAAAAAGCAAGCATTCTTCAATATGTAATTTAATTCAGGAACCAGGGTAAAAATAACTCTGTTTTCCTAGGCTCTTGACATCAAAGCTAAAGTGATTTTCAGCTCATAAAGTTTTTTTTTTTAAATAAAAACCTTTTTTTTGTTGTTGACATCGTTAATGTTCAATTACTTGAACAACATTGTGGTTACTAGACTCCCCCTATTACATTAAGTTCATTTTTTTTCATTTTTAAAGATACATCAATTAAATATATTTTCTCTCTTTAAATACAGATGAAATCTCTTTTTGACATAACCAAAATAGGCCACTGGGAAGAGGATATATATTGTATAGTTAATTCAAATAGAAAAAAGGAAACAAACCATTAAAGACACTCATTAAATCGTCATTTGAGCCAGGAGAGTGCTATCTCATATCAATCTGAAGATCTGTGTAAACACATCAGCTTTCAATTATTATGACTTACAATCACTTCACAAATCACCACATTAAGCACTAATCACTCTGGTTTTCTTGGCATCCAAGTACTTTATAAAAGTTTACACTTTCCAGCCGTAATTACTTTGAAGTTTAGCATTCATAGCCCTCACATTTTCAAAGCACTATGCAGTTCTTAATATTTTTTCACAAGTTAGTAAAATAGTTCTGTATTATCTTGCATTGACAGCTGAGAAAAGGATTTAAACAAAAAGAAATGAATTTTTTAGGATACATAATGGCAGAACAAGGATACAAAATTTTGACTTTCTAGTTTCTAGGTCAGAATATTACAAGTATTCAAACCATTTAGATAAATGGGTTTTTAAAGCATTTCCCTATTATATCACTGCACTGGAAATCCCTATAGAAGACAAAGTCTTTGCCTAAAAGTTGCTTCATTATCTCTTTTGTTAGTAGAAAATACCTTGCAGATGGTACAATTGTATCTATATCAGGGAATAAGCAATTTAATTGGGTGTTGAAGAGATTGGGAATGTTTCTCCACTTTGAATATATCCACTCACAGTTTAGAAAATCTCTGAGGCATTGAGACATTATAAACCCAGATGGGATCTAAGGTGTGCTTACAGCAACATAAACCCCAAACAGTACCATCAAAGAAAATGAAGACAAGACATTATGATTTCTCACAGAAAGCTGCACATTTCCAGGGTAATTTTATTGTAAGAAATAAATTATATATAAAAATATGTAATTATAAAATTATAAATTATAAAATATTTTCACTTCATTTTAAAGTGAAAAATATTCCCCTAATCAGCTCCTTTTTATGTTCCACTTCTCTTATTCATGGCTTGTTTATTCAGACTTCATATAAACATGGTATATAACACTAAAACTACTATAATTCCAATTTTCAACTCTGAACATTACTTTCTATATTAAAATTTCTGAAAGTGGTATGGTTTTAAAATACACATTGTGGTTATGAACACTGCACATTCCCTCTTTCCTCACAAAACATTAACTTGGTAAACATTTAACATTACAATCATGTATTTATGACTTGATGCAGCTATTTGTTATAATCAAGTTGACAATACAAATGGCTTAATTTAATAAGGAGCTTGTATTTCAATACATTTTAATTCTGAAAATCCACTATAAACACAAACATTTCTATCTGGACTTTGTTCAATAAGCTTCATCTTCATGTTTAAAACAACTTTATCAAGTGATTCCCACCTTATATTCACAATATATTCACAAAAACTTTCTATTCAGCTAAAGCACTGCAACTGTCAGATACAATGACATAGCAACTCACATCTGCTGAGTACAACTCTGTTACTTTTATTTACCTACATTTTCTGCTAAGATTCAGGTGGTACTCAATTGACAACAGTTACAAAGACTGATAACAAGTATAAGGGAGGTATAGAGAGTCCCTCACAAATACTGTTAATAGGAATGTAGACTGGTGGTCTATTGGAGCCCAATTTGACAATGATTAACAAAATTGCACATGAACACACTATTTGACAAATCTATTCATGTGTAAATTTATACAATTTAATCAACATACGTGAACCAAACAATATGCACAAAGGTCACATCACAGCACTGTTTGAAATACTGAAAATTGAAATGAACCTGTGCAGAAAAGGTGACACAGGACTTCAATATTCAAGTGTTTTGTGTATTGACTAATCATGATAGATGTATGTATATGCGGACACATGCATTGCTATACCTATACACATACATGTATACATACATAAATGTTAGACCAAAGGGAGCTTTAAAACAAGCACCAAAGAGTATTTAATTCATGGTGTAAGTAGAAATTGAGCTTCCTAAGTTACCAATCACATAAGTTACTAACCACGTAAGTTTCATATATTAAAAAGTAAAGCAAACAAGGCAAAAACGTCATTGCACTTAACCACACATCTATCACCAGACTGTAGATAAAAAACGATTTGTCATTTACATGTAATAAGCATTAATATTTCAAGAAAAAATATTTTAAATAGAATAATTAATATCAGAACTGCAGTAATAGTATAACAAAACCTTTTAGGAAATAGTAATAATCTGAAAATAGTATTATTTCTATTACATTCTAAATCAAATTTTATCTCCATTTATGTGCATTTCCTAAAAGAAAATGTTACAATTAAATTTTGAAGTATATTCTTATTCTCATTGTTTGTACTTTTATTCTAGAACTATGTTAAAGTATTGCTATTTCAAAGAAATAACCTACAGTTGCACAGATGAATTATTTTTAACACAGGCAGTCTTCCTTTTCAACACATAACATGTAAATCTTTTCTTCTGTCAGAAAGCTCAAAATGAAAGCTCTACACCAGTCTCTTTGTTCTGCATTTTCTTTTCCTCTTGGGTGCAGTGAATTCTAAAGACATAAAATAAATAGTCTGTCATGCCTAAAAAAATAATACTTAACTGATAATATATATTTTACCTATATAGATTTTTAATTGGTATTAAGAATGCCTTTACAAAACTGAACAGCTACATGCAAGAGAATTAAGCTGGATTATTTTCTAACTCCATACACAAAAGTAAACTCAAAATGGATCAACGACCTGAATGTAAGTCATGAAACCATAAAACTGTTAGAAGAAAACATAGGCAAAAATCTTTTGAATATAAACATGAGCAACTTTTTCCTGAACATTTCACCTTGGGCAAGGGAAACAAAAGCAAAAATGAACAAACGGGACCTCATCAAGCTAAAAAGCTTTTGTACAGCAAAGGACACCATGAGCAGAACAAAAAGGCATCCTACAGTATGGGAGAATACATCTGTAACAACAAGGGGTTAACATCCAAAATATACAAAGAACTCACATGCCTCAACACCCAAAAAGCAAATAACCTGATTAAAAAATGAGCAGAGGATATGAACAGACAATTTTCCAAAGAAGAAATTCAGATGGCCAACAGGCACATGAAAAGATGCTCCATATCACTAATTACAAGGGAAATGCAAATTAAAACCACAATGAGATATGACCTCACACCAGTTAGGATGGCCAACATTGAAAAGACTGGGAACAAATAATGCTGGCAAGGATGCAGGGAAAAGGGAACCCTCCTACACTGTTGTTGGAAACATGAACTAGTTCAACCATTATGGAAAGCAATATGGAGGTTCCTCAAAAAACTAAAACTAGAAATAACATTTGACCTGAAAATTCCACTCCTAGGAATTCACCCAAAGGAAACAACTTCTCATATTCAAAAACACATATGCACCCCTATGTTTATTACAGCACTATTTACAATAGCCAAGATATAGAAGCAACCTAAGTGTCCATCAGTAGATGAATGGATAAAGAGGTGGTACATATACACAATGGAATACTATTAAGCCATAAGAAAGAAACAAATCCTACCATTTGCAACAACATGGATAGAGCTGGAGGGTATTATGCTCAGTGAAATAAGCCAGGGGAGAAAGACAACTACCAAATGATTTCCCTCATTTGTGGAGTATAACAACAAAGCAAAACTGAAGAAACAAAGCAGTAGCAGACTCAAAAGCAAAAATGAACAAATGGGACTACATCACGCTAAAAAGACTCACAAACTCCAAGAAGGGACTAGCAGTTACCAAGAGGAGGGGTTGGGGAGAGCGGGTGGGGAAGGAGGGAGAAGGGGATTGAGGGGTATTATGATTAGTACACATGGTGTAGGGGAGAGGTCACAGGGAAGACAGTGTAGCACAGATAGGACAAGTGTTCACTGTGGCATCTTACTACACTGATGGACAGTGACTGCAATGGGGTATGAGGGAGGAGACTCAATAACATGGGTGAATGTAGTAACCACATTGTTTTCCTTGTGAAATCTTCGTAAGAGTGTATATCAATGATACCATAAATTAAATGAATGAATGAATGAATGAATGAATGAATAAATAAATAAAAGGTTTTCAGTGGAAAAGAAGAATGCCTTTACAGCAAAACTCCAACAAGAAATCTTAAGCTTGACATATACATGATTTTTTTCCTGAAAATTGGTACTGTAGCTGAAACTTACTAATATACATCCAAGTTATCCTAAATCCTACTCAATAATAAGATACTATGGAATTGTTTCATATGGGTATACCCTCTCTTAATTAGTATGGACCAGTGTGCCAAATGTGAAAGTATCTAGGCCAGTGCTGAGATAACTAAGATTTCCATTTAATTTCACTTAAGCCTGAAAATGTAATCCAAAACACAGCACCATCATCTTTTTGGCTACCACAGCATATGCCATAACTAACTCTCAAAAAGTGTCCTTCTAGAAACAGTTGTAAACTGTTACAGATCATTAAAAACCAAGAAAATAGAAGATACAAACATGAAAATTATTAAAGATATCAGAAATGTTTACCACCAATGACAAAAAGGGGAGTGACAGGAAAAGGAATGAGAAAAGACAAGGAAAAAATTAAGAGGAAAAACAACATATTCCTGGAAGACAGCAGTAGCTCGGATAGAGTGCAGCAGGCAGAGAGAGCAAACTGTCCTGAAGAAAGCAGGTCTGAGGTCTGGAAAGGATATTTTTAAAAAGATGAAAATGATACTATGCCTAATGTGTTTGGATATACCAAGAGGAGATATATACAACTGATGAAGAGTTTGGATAAATCGGTGATAAGTACATAGAAAAAAATAATAAGGCAAAAAAAATCATTAACTGTCTAGGGAAAACAATAAATGTAGATTAAGGAAGTATCATAGTATATTACATGGCCCTATTGCCAACAATGTTTTGTAAATGCTGAATATTGATATAAATAACAACAGTTACACTGGGAGGGTGGGGGCTGGGGAATACACAATGTTTGGTGTGGAGGTGAGAATATATTAAAGAGAACTAAGCACCATCTTCAGTCAGTGGTAAGTCAACAGATGATCCATAGAACTGAAATATGAAGAAGCAGCAATATAAATATTTAAATATTTATTTAGAGAGATGGAGGTTAAATTCCAAAATAATTAGTAAAGAGTTAAAAGTGGTTGTCTCTGGGGGTAAGAAACTAGGGTCAAAGTCAGAAGACTGTGGTTTCTTATATAATGGTTATTATAAAATTATTGGAATTAAGTTATATGTACATGTAGCTATGATTTAATGAAAACAAAATTTTTAAAAATCACAAGCTGATAGATTTAGGAATAGGACTTGCCTGGTAACCATAAACGTGTATGCGCATGTTAAATTATTTACTCACAATAAAAGTCACCAATCAAGACTAGATGGAAACTACAGTCTGAAACTCACCATAAGATTGTAAAGGACTGGTTTACTGACATAAATCTCAAAGGCACTCAGATTTCTGAGGGAACAAACAGTCCTTGTAAATTGGCTCTTCAGCACCCTGTTTCTCTTTATATAATTAAATGGGTTATTTTTCTCCCACACTAAACTTAATCTTTGACCACATAGACTGATCTGATTCATTCAACAAATATTTACTTAGGTCCACTATGGGCAGCTGTGCTCAGGCCTACAATCACTGTAATGAAAATAAAATGGTTGTTAAGTTTCTGTGGTGGATATCTATACCACTGTACCTAACTAAATGCTTGAAACACAACAGGCACTCAATACATGCTTGCTGAATGAACATAGGGCCAGAAAGAAAAAAAAAGTCATGAGGCGTTTTTCTTAATATACATTATGTTCACCATCACTGATGGATTGCCAACTATCAAGCCTAGCTTGATATATATATATATATATAGCTAAATATAACTTATTCTCTGTACTAGTGTAACACCAACATAGATAATAGCTAAACTGCTGTTTAATAAACACTACAAATTACGAAAACCACAACAAAAAAGGTATAGCTATTTCAATTCATGTTGTTCAATTTACCGTTATGTATTACAATCATCATTCCATAGGTGAAAATTTACATATACTAGAATATCAAATAATATTTTTTAACAATAAATCTTTTTTTAAGCTATATCCAGAAATACATATTTTGTGAACCTTGCCCTTCGTTAGGATACATATTCAGGCATCTTCATGCTTAGGGATATTACTTACTAATAATGTTATTTTCCTTATCTTTCACCTCTCACCTTGACTGAGCACTGCCTTTCCATATCCACTTATTTATTGTATTATTATTTACTTTAAATGTCAGGATTGACAGTATGATTAATACTGAAATCCTCCAATGGGTCAAAGATAAATGCATCACCAGAACACAAAACCAACCATCATACTCTTCAGGGTTCTAAACCTTGATGATCCACGAGCATAACTTGCTTTCCATTAATTTGACAAAATTTTTCCTTACCTGTTTCATTAAAACTTTCATTCTCCTCTTCCTCTTCTGTAATTACAGGCATACTCAGATTTAAAATTTTATCTTTCTTGTGTACATTCTGCTTGTCATCTGGAAATAGAAAAATGATTTTAGGTGAAAACAATGTTAATCTTTGAGAAAATTTGTTATACAAATAATGTAAATATTACAAAAAAATCAGATTTTGAAATTAAAAGCTAAATATGCATTTAAAAGAGAAATGTGCATTTTAAATATGTATCTTTTCTAAATATTAATGTATTTTATCTACACTTTGAAAATAGTCTCTAATTCTTCGATTACAATAAAGAAAATAGAAGAAAGGGGGAGAAACAAAATTAGCCAGACATCAATATCTTATTCCATCTTTAACACACACAGCATGGGTTAAATCTGCAGACAGCAGGAAATAATTATGTGGTTACTTCAACTTTACTAATTAATCACAATTTAAAGTTAATAGCATTGTTTTTGAATGCAGAGACACTTTCTTTTATCACTACAAATGCTCCACAAGACATAACTCTAGTCATAATTTGCCACTGACTTTCCATTTTCCAATATATTAGAGGTTTTCTACATCAAGCCTCTGGTGCCTGAAGATATATCCTAAACAAACTGATCAAACAGCATTGTCATATCAGGTCTCATTTACCACAAATATTCATGTCCCAAGAGCAATCTTCCACAGTCACTCTTTATTCTTTATGTTGCTTTATTCTTCCCCACAACATTGTATTACCTGATATATGTTGTTTCTTTATAGTCTGCTTCCTCCCACTAGAATGTAAGCTTCACAAGAATAGATTCTGATTTAAGTTGATGTCTCCCCAGCACTTAGAAAAGTGCCTGGCATATAGTAGGGCCTCAATATTTATTAAATATTAAATATGGATTCAACTCTTTTATAATTGTTTTATACAGTACAGATGTTAGTAAGTACCAGACATCACAGGAGGTAAGAATTACATGAAAATAAGTTTAAGCTTTCTGTTCAGAACACATATACACTAGGATCTTAGTGATATGATTTTATGGAGTGAACAGATTAATCTAAAATAGAGTTGAGTAAACTCTAGCAATAACCTTCCCCTCTAAACACAATTCAAATTTACTAAATTAATACCAATTTCCCATTAAGTTATTAAAATAGAATTTTACCTTCACTTGTAAGTCTTAGTATTAATTACAATAATTTTGTACATGATTTTTAAGATGACAGATAATCTTTTATGACATCTTTCCACATGTAATCACATTTTTTAAGACATTGAACCTAAAAAATTTTTTAGCTGTTCACAAAATTATAATCAGTGCAATGAACTCCAAAAATTGCTAATACTGTTCTTCACAATCTTTCAGCGTTGTCCATATACATCAGTTTTTAATGGTTTTGAGAAATCCACATTTACAACCTAAGAGGATCTATCCAACAAAGCCAAGTTAAAAACTGACGGCTGAGAAACAAGCTTCATCTAGTCACGTGATTATTAACTACATCTTAAGAGTTATAGTTCTACAGTAAATAAGCAAGTTTAAAAAATAAGAAGCAATGTTCTCTAAAGCTTTTAAAAACAGATACAGTATAAACCAGTGGAACAGAATAGAGGGCCCAGATATAAACCCAAACATTTATGGTCAATTAATATACGATAAAGGAGCCATGGATATACACGGGGAAATGACCACCTCTTCAACAGCTGGTGTTGGCAAAACTGGACAGCTCCATGTAAGAGAATGAAACTGGATTACTGTCTAACCGCATACACAAAAGTAAACTCAAAAATGGATCAAAGACCTGAATGTATAAGTCAGGAAACCATAAAACTCTTAGAAAAAAATCTTTTGGGCATAAACATAGCAACTTCTTCATTAACATATCTCCCCGGACAAAGGAAACAAAAGCAAAAATGAAAAAGTGGGACTACGTTAAACTAAAAAGCTTCTGTACAGCAAAGGACACCATCAGTAGAACAAAAAGACATCCTACAGTATGGGAGAATATATTCATAAATGACATATCTGATAAGGGGTTGACATCCAAATTATATAGAGCTCACGCACCTCAAAAAACAAAAAGCAAATAACCCAATTAAAAGATGGGCAGAGGAGCTGAAGAGACACTTCTCCAAAGAAGAAATTCAGATGGCCAACAGGCACATGAAAAGATGCTCCACATCACTAACCATCAGAGAAATGCAAATTAAAACCACAATGAGATATCACCTCACACCAGTAAGGATGGCCAACATCCAAAAGACAAACAACAACAAATATTGGCGAGGATGTGGAGAAATGGGAACCCTCCTACACTGCTGGTGGGAATGTAAATTAGTTCAACCATTGTGGAAGAAAGCAGAGTGGAGGTTCCTCAAAAAGCTCAAAATAGAAATACCATTTGACCCAGGAATTCCACTCCTAGGAATTTACCCTAAGAATGCAGCAGCTCAGTTTGAAAAAGACATATGCACCCCTATGTTTATCTCAGCACTATTTACAATAGTCAAGAAATGGAAGCAACCTAAGTATCCCTCAGTACATGAATGGATAAAGAAGATGTGGTATATATACACAATGGAATATTATTCAGCCATAAGAAGAAAACAAATCCTACCATTTGCAACAACAGTGGATGGAGCTAGAGGGTATTATGCTCGGTGAAATAAGCCAGCAGAGAAAGACAATTATCAAATGATTTCACTCATCTGTGGAGTATAAGAGTAAAGAAAAAACTGAAGGAACAAAGCAGCAGCAGACTCACAGAACCCAAGAATGGACTAACAATTACCAAAGTGAAAGGGACTGGGGAGGGTGGGTGGGAAGGGAGGGATAAGAGGAAAAAAGGGGCATTACAATTAGCACACATAATGTAGCCACTGGGGGGACACGGGAAAGGCAGTATATACAGAGAAGACAAGTAATGATTCTATAGCATCTTACTATGCTGATGGACAGTGACTGTAATGGGGTATGTGGTGGGGACTTGATAATAGGGAGAGTCTAGTAACCATAACGTTGTTCAAGTAATTGTACATTAATGATATCAAAACAAACAAACAAACAAATAAACAAAAGATACAGTGTCTCACCCACCTATATGCAGCCAAGAACCAAAAAGTGAACACAGAAAACTCCAGGACATTTACCTCAAAGTGCATATATTAGCTAAAAATAGAGAACTTCACTCAGAGGTATGTTCCTCAGAACTTAATTACATTTATTTTATATAAAACTGAAATGAATGGCCAACCAGTTTCTTAAACCATTACACTTAAGAAGATGCAAAGGGCAAAAAAAATTGCTACAAGCCTGCACGCTGGGATCAGAAAGAAGACACCCACCACAACAAATATGACAGAGAAGCTTTTTAGTAAATAAAAAAACAGTATGAAAAAATAAGACAAAGTCTGATTGCAGCATGAAGACATAAACTGCCCTATACACTGAAGATACTTCTTGAGAGAGAAAAAGATGGCGACATGAGTAGGGTGGCAGAAATCTCCTCTCAAAACCATATATATTTTGAAAATACAGCAAATACAACTATTCCTAAAGGAGTGACCAGAAGATATAGTACACCAGCCAGGCTACATCTGCGAGAACCCAGCATCTCACAAAAAAGGTAAGATACAAAGCCATGACCCAGAGGGACCTGAGCACTATCCCCACCCCAGCTAACCAGCGAGAGGAAAAGAATCAGAGTGGGAAAGGAGTGGAACTGCAGGACTGCTAAATAACCAGCCCTAGTTATCTGCCCCTGGAGCACAGACACATATTACATGGTGCTCTGGATATTAGAGGAGAAGAAAAGCAAAATCCAAGACTAAGATTGTGAACAGGTTCCCAAAGCCGGCTGCCCTGGGACAAAAGAAAAGAAAGCACATTAAAAGTCTTAAAGGGACAAGGGTTTAACAGGTGGACAAAATAGTCCTGGCATGCTCAGCCCAGCAGGCTGGGAACTTTAAGGAACTTCAGGTACGCTAACCTCTTGGATGGCAATGCAGCCCCGAGACCCTCACAGTGATAAGCAGCCTGTCATTCATTCCCCCCACTGGCACTTCAAGCAAACAGGCTGACCTGCCATTGCTGCAGAACAGCCAGGGAGCAGCCCCACCTACAGCAACCACACAGCTTAGCAGAGGCTTCTCCCTGCACACGGCTAACTGGCCCAGACCCAGGGGCTGCTCCGTGCTCGCAGTTGACTGGCACAGACAGTGGAGATGGGCACAGAGTACAGAAGGCACAAAGGGGCTCTGTTCTTGGAGCAGAACATGCACCACTCACCTGCAAACCACGCCAGTGCCCTAGGCCATCCCGAGGACCACCCTGCCCCCAGCAGCTCAGGGGATTAACCCAGAGGCTACTCCATGCATGTGGCTGATCAGCACACAGACAGTAGAGACAAGCAAGGTGACCAGCAAGCAGGAAGGGACTTTGTTCTCCCAGCTGACACATGCACCACTCGCCGGTGACGACTCCCATCACCATGAAAAGGCAGAAGAACTTTGTTCAATCCAAAATCCCTTAAACACCAGAGAGAGGGCTTGGTGAGACTGAAATCACCAATCTTCCTGAAAAAGAATTCAAAATAAAAATCATAAACATGCTGATGGAGCTACAGAGAAATATTCAGGAGCTAAGGAATGAATTCAGGAGGAACATAACAGAAATGAAACAAACAATGGAAGGATATAAGAGCAGACTGGATGAGAATGGAAGAAGACTGTTAATGGAATAGAAATCAGAGGACAGGAATACAAAGAAGATGAAGAAGAGAGAGATAAAAGGATTTTGAGAAATGAAAGAATAGTAAGAGAATTGTGTGACCAATCCAAATGGAACAATACTCTCATTATAGGGATACCAGAAGAAGGAAAGAGAAAAGGAAAGTGTTTTTGAAGAAATAATTGCTGAAAACACCCCCAAGCTGGGGAAGGAAATAGTCTTTCAGACCATGGAAGCCCACAGATCTCTCAACACAAGGGACCCAAGGAGGACAACATCAAGATCCATAATAATTAAAATGGCAAAGATCAAAGACAAGGACAGGGTATTAAAGGCAGCCAGAGAGAGAAAAAAGATCACCTACA